ACCACATAATAACATGAGAAGGAAGAGGGGTGACAGAGTAACAGGTCAATCCTAGTGAGACATCAACTTCAATAAAATGAATGAAACAGTACATCAATAAACAATCACAAAATATTTGAATCATTCCAGTAATGAAAATGTGCATATGAAATCCATGATAGAAGATCAACACATTAACAATAATAAAATGCTAAAATTATCAAGTACAGAAACTTATTTATCAAAGGTACCATCATGAAAAAAAAAACTCTTAGACACTAGAGTGGAAGAAAAATCAGTTTTAAACACATGAATTAAAACCAGAATGGTTAAGAAACATTTCTTCTACTATCACTTAAAACACTAGGGTTATTCTTACAAAGAATAAAACAATTTATGAGCATTGCCTTAAGATAGTAAAAGATAAAATAGCAAAAAGGCTGGAGGATTTGCTTGAGGTCAGGAGTTCGAAACCAACCTGGGCAACACAGTGAGATCACTATCTCTACAGAAAAAAAAAATAGTTTATTGACAGAATATATGAACTTGTGCAAACTAAAATGGATGTTGAAAATTACATGGGATTATATACCTTTTTCATATATACAAATTTTCAGTGTCACAAAACTATCAGATTTCCAAAATTTACATAAAAATCTCAGTAAGAATGTTGATGAGCTCGAGAAGCAAATTATTATGTTTCTGTAGAATATTAGTTGGACAGACAAGCAAGATTTTTTTTAAAGTAATTATTTTTAGAAAGTAAGTCTAATTATAGTTACCTAAATCATGACAATAAGTATGGATATGGACAATAAAATAGATAAAAGGAATAAATTCATAAAATAAGAGTTCATTAAATTTTAGAACTTCTTAAATGCACCAAAGTTCATCATGAAGTCATCAGAATTTTATTAAAATAGTTTTGAAAATCTATGCCACAAAAGTATGAGAAAATATTTGTCATACATACATCTGACAAATGAACATATCCAGCACATATAAAGTACCTCACTGAAAAAAAAGTGTAAGGAAAAGATTGATAGTCCAGCCCAAATGAGCAATTGACTTGAAGAATCATTCACAAAAGAGGACACCCAAATGATCAATGAAGAAAAATATAAAAATGGGATCCATGGTGTCAGGGAAATGCTAATTAAGATTTTATAGTAGGCAACAACACTCACGTCTTTATATTGGTGCAAACATCAAGTACAATAAGTTAACAGTAGCATCCTTCACCTTACTTATTAATTCTTCCTTCAAAGATAAGTCAGGATAAAAATATCCAAAATGGGTAGTGACCTCACATTTTATTCTCAATACTTGAGCCCTATCTAAGTTTGAATAGCATTATATATCTACATGTATTGCATTTTAGCACCAGTAATACTAAATTTCTAACAACAATTTACTATACTTGACCTTTCTGAGGAAAGAGTTCATTCAATTTTGTATTCCAACAGTTTAATCTAGGGCTTCGAAAATTATATTTGCTCAAAACTCTTAAATAAATAAATTCATTCATTTTTATATACCATTTTATTAGTTTCCATTTTTATATCTTTAACTAAAAGTAAAGTTTTCATAATTAAAATATTGTTTCTGCATCTAGGCTGTGTAAGTCTTGATGTGTTAGTGTTTTTCACATATGTGCGTTATTCTGATTTCACTGTAATCGTCTCCAAGTATAAATAATGAGAGTTGTGTTCATGGAAGTAAATTCCATGGTTGTACTGTGATATTCTTAAGGTGAAATATGTGTTTTATTCATTAGTATTTCTAATCAGCATCCAGTAGATGTTCAATAAGTTAATATTAGATAAAAGCAGAGAGATATTATGAAGATGTGTTTCTTTATATGGTTCATGTGGATTTAATGAACGTGTGGATCTGAATGGCCATAAGTTCTGCATCATGGAGGGACAGATGACATGGCACTATTGCCACAGTCAAGCTACTGGTGAAAGTGAGGAAGTTTTCCAGGAAGCCCTCAAAGAAGATTGCCAGACTAACAAGGCTATGGAAATACAAACTAAACATATATAGCTATGACAGTCTCTAAACTCTCATAAGATGAATTACCCTAAAATATTGATGTTTTTATAAATGTGTAAGAAAGATTAAAAGTGCAATAGAAGCATATCTTTCAACATTTTGCTCAAATAGGACTCACAAAACATGATCTCTATTTACATGCACCATAATCCTTGACACTGGGGAGAGAGATCGTTCTCAGATGAACACTCCCTACCTGGAATCCAGAAAGTAAGCAAATACTGTTTTGAGGAAAGAGAGCTCCTATGTTATAATCAATGTTGGCAGCATCACTCACCTTAGTGCCCTATCAAGTGCACCCCTGCCTCTGAAACTTGGACTACTGAGGAGACTCACGCATGCTCAGTGAGTGTATGAAATATAATCTCCTGAAATTTTGAGATTAATATTTTTTTAGTTTTAAGATCTTCACCAGTACAGTACACTCATTCAAATTCTAAGAACTGGGGTTGAAGCAATGAATAAAAACTGACAAAAGTCCCTGTTCTCATATTGCCTGTATACTCTTGTGTTGGAGAAAGGAAATACACTGTACTGAATGATGATAAGAGCTATGGAGAAAAACAACACAAGCAAGAGAGATGGGCTTACAGTGCTGCGGAAAATGCTATTTAAGGCTGTAACACTACTAAACCTCATTTGTCATCACATACACATTTGACCTTCCTAAGTCATTTAGGTGAAACTCCTTGGGGGATCCAAATTAGCCACTATAAATGCTAATCCTTTATCTCTACATAGTTTTATAGTTACTTTTTGTTTGTCTTTTGAATAAAATTAATACTATTTCATGTAGGGGCCATTCATGTTTTATCCTTATAGTCTACCATAGTGACTGCCACATTGCTAATATTCAGTAAAATGTTTATTGACAGAATGAATGAATGTATTTATGAGGCATCAGCAAGAGCCAAACACAAAATGCTTCTAATGACAATTCATTGAGTTGGAATTCACTCTGGAGTCAAATGTTCTTCTGAAGTATTGTCATGGACAGACCAAAAATAACAAGTATCTACTTTAGGGTACTTTACTAAATTAATTTATGATAGGACATTCAATAATTAAATTAAGAAATTATGAGACTGTGAGCTAAGATTGTAATGATAATGAAGGAATAGAAACAAGTCTGGAAATAGTTGAGAAGTAGTATTAGGGTAAGAGTAATTGAATGTGGATGGTATGAAACACTGTATCATGAGTTTTAACCTGGTATTGGTACAAGAACAGGCACATAGACCAATGGAAGAGGACAGAGATTCCAGAAGCAAAGCCACAATTTCTAAACCAACTCATCTTTGACAAGCTTGCACCACCAGCCACTGGGGAAAGGAGAACCTACACAGTAAATGGTGCTGGGAAAACTGGCTGATCACATGCAGATGATTGAAACAAGACCCCTACCCATCACCATACACAAAAATTAACTCTAAATGGATCAAAGACCTAAACATAAAACTTCAAACTATAAGAATCTTAGAAAACGCAGGAGACACTCTTATGGAAATTGGAACTGGCAACCAATTCCTATTCAGAACCCTAAGCGCCCATACCTTAAAAAATAAGATAGATAAGTGGAATCTCACCAAACTAACAAGCTTCTGCAAAGCAAAAGAAGCCATCAAGAGAGCAGGGAGACAGCCCACAGAATGGGAAAAAACATTTGCCAACAGTATATCTGACAAAGTCCTAACATCTAGGATCTACAAAGAACTCAAAAGTGCCGAAAGGAAAAAAAAAATCCCATTAAAAAGTGAACAAAAGACATGAATAGACACTTCTCAAAAGAAGATTTTTGGACAGCCAACAGACACATGAAAAAGTGCTCAGCCTCACTCATCATTGAAGAAATGCAAATCAAAACCACATTGAGATACACTCAATCTAAAAACATTCTACTCCTTAGGTATTAACTTAAGAGTAATGAAAGCATATGCGTATAAAAATATGTGCACACACAAAAAAGTTTATAGCAACTGTATTTTCAATAGCCAAAAACTAGAAATAACCCAAATGTTTATGAACAAGAGGATGGATAAATAAATTGCAAAATATTCTTAAAAGGAAAATTATCCAGCAACATGAATAAACCATTGATACATGCAACCTGCTGTGTGAGTCTCAGAACAATTATGCTGAGTAAAAGAAGCCAGACTGCTTCCATGCCCTACTATCTCCACTCAAAAAAGAATACATGGTTTATAATTCAATTCAGGTGAAACTCAAAGAAATATAAGCTAATCTAAAGTGGCAAAAGACATTCCAGTGGTTGCCTGAGGGGAGGGTGTCTCATGACTAGAGTGACAGAAGCTTTAGAAAAGGGTCCAAGGATCATTTCACATGATTTGATGTTATGAATGTGTTCAGTATCTTGATTGTAGGGATGGTTTCACAAGTATATACATATGTCAAAACATAACAAATTTTACACCTTATGTGAATTTATTGCATGCCAATCATACTTCCATAAAAGCTGTTTAAAATATAATGTATTAATAAAATTGATCTAATTATTATTTTAATATGAAAAATACCAATTAAAAATTCATATATTTCTAAATATTTTTAGGTAAAACAATAAAAGGTTTATTCCCCCTTTTGGGAAGGATCTATATTTTTACTTACAGAACTATATTCAAGATGAGAATTTTATTTTTTTTCTAAAATCACACAATTTTTTACATAATTACTTCTAATGGAGTTTGATCAAGACGCTAAATATGAGATAAAATAACCATATATACCCACCTATTCTATTACCTATTTTTCTAGTCTGCATTTTATTCCTCATAAACCATGATTTTATTTACTATTATTAATAAATATATAAAGACAATTAAAATACACTCTACCTCCTGGGTTATAGACTTTAATTTAAAAAACAACTAAGAAGGCAATAGTGCCATATTCCTAAAACATAATCTACATGAGTAGTGGTGATTTAAAGGGAGGCCCAGGAAGATTTAGGAGCTCCACAGGCACAGTAATCTCAAAGAGAGCTTTGGCTTGCTCCTCCTCAGAGCTTGCTTGACATCTTTGTTCCTCAGGCTGTAGATCAAGGGATTCAACATGGGGATGACAACGGTGTAAAAGATGGACACTACTTTACTTTGCTCCATGGAGAAGATGGCACTGGGTTGTGCGTACATAAAGAAAACTGTACCAAAAAACAAGCACACTCCAGTTAGGTGGGAGGCACATGTAGAGAAGGCTTTCTGGCGTCCTTGCATTGTCTGTATCCTCATGATTGTCGAGATGATGTAGATGTACGAGACTAGAACGATCAAGAAGGTACTGACAATAATGGAGCCACATAAACCAAGAAGAACCAGTTGGTTTATAAAGGTATCTGAACACGCCAGAGTCAAGAGTGGGGGCACATCACAGAAAAAGTCATTGATCTCATTGGACCCACAGAAGGGCAACCTGAAGGTCATGGTTGTCTGAGTGACGGCATTGACTACTCCCCAGAAGTAGGACCCTGACACTAATAGCACACAGACCTGGTAAGACATGCTCACAGAGTAGAGAAGAGGGTTGCAGATGGCGATGAAGCGGTCATAGGCCATGGCAGCCAAGAGGAATGCCTCTGCAGTACCAAAGAGAGACAGGAAGAAGAATTGAGCAGCACACCCCTCAAAGGACACTGTGTCGTCCTCTTTCATGCAGTCCACCAGAGCTCTCGGTGCAATGGTGGAAGAATAGCAGATGTCCAACAAGGAAAGGCTTTGAAGGAAGGAGTACATTGGGGTGTGGAGGTGTGCATTCGCCCTGATGATTACAATCATGCCAAAGTTTCCCGCCACAGCTATGACATACAGGACTAAAAAAATCAGAAATATCATTGTCTGCATTCCCGCACCCCCTTGGAATCCAAGTAGAACAAACTCTGAGACATATGTAAAATTTGCCATTGTGTAAGAGCTGCCAGAGAGATAGAGGCAGAGATGAGATGGGAAGACAAGGAAGAAGAAAATTTGTAAGCCAAATACTACTTGATGCTCACAATATTAAGTTCAATTAGTTTGAGATCTTTATATGGCATTAAAAACATTCTGCTTATGATCTTGAGAATAATGCTTTGGTCTACTGTATTCCATATACTGGGAAAAAGAAAAGGTTCTGCTGCCAAGGAGAGAAAATGGAAATGCACAAGCATTAGCATACACACAGTCTGTATCTATAGATACACCACTGTATTATTCAACTTCAATCTCTCAAGTAATATGTGAGAAAGGAATCTCTAATTTATTTCAAGATGGATCTATTTCAGTTTTTATAAATTACTATATGGACCTCTTGAGAGTTCATCATATCATACTATCTATTTGATATACCTTTAACAGATTGATAAAATTTTTGTTATAAAGTGAAAGAAATTTGATAATACGTGCTAGGTTTTTGAAATAAATTAGACCTTTTTATTGTAATCATTGCCATGACAGTTTTCTTAAATCAGTGATTATCAAACTATTTTTTACCTGTAATAACTCCTTCTCTGATACATTTCATTTGGATAAATATTATAAATTAGACAACCATAATACATTTAAGCAGTCTACTCTAAGACCATGTAAATTACAGTAAGTTGGAATTTCATTATAGGATGTAATTTTTCATCCATGGAGTAGAAAGCATGGGGAATAGCAATGTGTGTGTGTGTGTGTGTGTGTGTGTGTGTGTGTGTGTGTGTGTGCATGTATATGTATGCATGTATTTATGTGCATATAATCATTTGGAAATTTGCTAATACTGTTTCTTATTCCATACAAAATAGAAATAAACATACCTACCCTGGGAAGATTAAATGGCAGTGTACATGACAGCTTTTATTCAAAATACATGCAAAATGAAAATGAATTTTCCCTTTTCTTATGAACTCTATCATGGTATAAAAATTTGTACTAATTCAGTAACTCTTAATTAAGTTATTTTCTCAGAGAGAAGGTGTCAGACTTAAAAAGAAAATCATTAACAACTTTCAAATCTCCAGATATTTGGGATCTAATAAAACCACAATCATGCTTCCATGATTTTCTTACTTTTCCTCTTCTGAAAATTTATCCCATCCTAATATGGGATCATAATTTGTTTGCTTCTATGTAAGCTCCAAGCTCCAAGAGAAGAAATATTGTGTTACTTTCTGATCTAACTTAAACAACTAGAATAGAACTCAACTGAGTCAAGACCCAAATGAATGAGTAAATGATTCCTCTTTACAACACAGCACTGAATAGATTTGACTTTACATCCTTTTTCTAATAGGCACAGTATAATAAAATCACTTACTTTGAATATTAGGGTTTACATTAGGGAAGTCAAGATTCTAAAACCTAAGTACCTTAATTCTGAGTAGAAATAAGCAAATCACAAGGCCATTCCAACTTTAAAGAGAAGCAAAGCAAGTCATTTTTATGTAAAATAGCAGTTTACAGTTTTGAAACTTTTGCAGGTATGGCCAATGTACTTGGTTGAACTCAAAATAAATATGGTGTGGATTCTACTATTTTCTCTTAGAAGGAGGCAAGTAATAGATGCTGTCAAAGAACCAGTGAATGTCCTTGTTTCACCAAAGTTCATTCATTTTCCTGAAAGAGTTAGTGAAAGAGAATCTCACAAAAGAAAGGTGCTGGGTATGGTGACTCAAGCCTGTAATCCTGGCACTTTGAGTGTCGGAGGTGGGTGGATTGCTTGAGCCCAGGAGTTCAAGCCTAACCTTGGAACATAAAGAGACTTTCTCTCTACACACACACATATGTGTGCATACACTATTATCCAGGTGTGTTGGTGCTTGCCTGTAGTCCCAGGTACTTGGAAGGCTGAGACGGGAGAATTGCCTGAGCCCAGGAAGTTGAGGATACATGGAACCCCTCCACTCTAGTCTGAGCAATGGGAATATGTATATATTACCAGCAACCAGAGTAAAAAAATCACTTGATTTTTTGAGTTTTGGAAGTTTTTTTGACACATTGGAGAACCTGACGTCTATATAACCAAAGGTTCCACTTTCAGGTGTTTTGGGGAGGAATATTTGTGATTGCACTGTATCCAATTGACATAGAAAATAAAAGCCCATAAACCCAATTCTGAAATAAATAGGTAAGATTTATTGGACAATTGTCATAAGTTAATCATCTAAAAGAAACCCACCAACCTGTCTTTATTTTATTTAACACTCATAGAAGCCCATGTGCCTTATGCTAATATTCATAAGTTTTACAAGGGACATTCAAAAATGTGCCAAGGTCTCTCCCTTTAGAAAACAGTCAAATTTTTCTGCCTGACTATGGTCTATTCTTCTGGCCCCACATTGACTTACCATTGATTTTAATCCAAGATCTCAGGTCAAGATCAGTGTCACTAGTAATGCTATGTGCTGTTGCTTTAGTTTTTTGTTTGTTTGTTTTGCTAGATTATTATCCTTTGCTACAAGGTATTCACTGTACTTATCAGAATTCTGCTATCTAAAGAAGTAACACAAGGCCAGGCTCAGTGGCTCAACCTGTAACTCCAGCACTTTGGGAGGCTGAGGCGAATGGATTGCCTGAGCACGTTGGTCCGAGACCAAACCAGGCAACTTGGCGAGACCTCATCTCTACAGTAAATCCAAAACAAACAAACAAACAAAAAAATTAGCCAGGCATGGTAGCATGTACCTGTAGTTCCAGCTACTTGGAAAGCTGAGGTAGAAGAATCGCCGGAGCCCAGCAGGTTAATGCCACGGTGATGGTGAGTATACCACTGCGCTCCAGCCTGGGTGGCCTAGTGAGACACCAACTCTAAAAAAAGTAACGCAATAAGTAATAAACGCAAATGATCAAGCATGGGTTCTAATTCTGACTAGGTCAGTAAGGAGTTTTGTGATAGGAAATATATGCATAAAATCCTCTGAAGCCGGGCTCGGTGGCTCAACCTGTAATCCCGCACCTTTGGGAGAATGAGGTGAGTGGATTGACTGAGCCCGCGGGTTTGAGACCCGCCTGGGCAGCAAGACCTCATCTCTGTAATAAATCAAAAAATCAGCCGGGCGTGGTAGTGCATGCCTGTAGTTCCGGCTACTTGGAAGACTGAGGCGGAAGGATTGCTGGAGCCCAGCAGGTCGAGGTTGCAGTGGCTGGAAGCGGCCACTGCACTCCAGTCTGGGCGACAGAGTGAGACTCCAACTCAAAAAAAAAAAAAACAATCCTCTGAGATGGAATCCTTGAAATAAAAGATTGTCAAGAGGTATTCATTGTGAATACTGCTATATTTTCCCATTGTATCTTACTCTATCTGTTCCTTATATCTATGGAAATAAGGTGGAAAATCTAATGAAACACTATCCATGGATGTCACAATACTTGCAGTCTTTTCTTGGAAAAATATCATTCAAAAACACTAACTTATAAATTAAAAGATTATCTGAGAAAATTATGGTGTGAAAATCAGTATGATATTACAGAATGCAAACTCTAAATCCAAAAATACATTTCAAACACTTACTCCTATTCTGCCAATACCCCAGTGAAAATGTTGAGCAATGAGCTTTGTGCTGTTCTATAATAAGATAGACTGAGTAAATTTCCCTTCTTGGACAAGGTTCCAATCACCATACAGATGTCATCTCATTTGACCCTTATGAAAACCATATAAGATTTTATTGTAACTGTTTTTATTTTGCAGAGTGGAAAAATGAGTTTGAGGAAGTTAGACAATTTACCCAAGTTCACACTGCTAATAAATAGGGGAGTCACAATTTAAACTAGGAAACTAGGTTCCAGAACTCATACAACAATGCTTATTTATTAGGAAGGAAATGGGGCATTCTTACTTTTAATTTTATCTATTTATCTTCTTAGAAAAGAAATTAAAGCATTTATATTTCTATGAGACACCTGTATTTTAAATTGGCATCAGTAATCTTCGTTTTAAAATATCTAAACATTGGTCAATGTGCTGTAAAATAACCCTGAACATTTTAGAGTCTTATGTGAAATTAACACAGTGGTGTGGGTACTATACCAGAGATAATCAATGTAGTGTAGTGGTTACCATCAGGGACTTGTAACAGAAGCCCTGTGTTTAAACACTTACTAACTGTGCTCCCTTGGACAATTGTCTTATTCTTTCCATATTTTAGTAAAATGTCTGTCAAATGTGGGTAATAAGAGTTTGTGCTTCATTGTGAAAACTAAAGCATTTCATAGGTTAAATACTTCCAAGATTCCCTGGTACATAATCAGCATAATGTGAGCAACGAAGCAAGTATTGTCAGCATTAACCATATTATTTTTAGAGTCAATTATTGACCAGTGCTATTTTAATTGAGGTCTGCTATGTTCATAGATTAATTGGGGTTTATCAGTAAGCTGTGATTGATTTAGATTTCCTACCTAATTTAATAGAATTTAAATTAACTTACCTGAATTAGTCACAGGGTCTTTAAGCAAGCATTTTATGTTCTGAATAAAATAAACCATACCTAAAGGGCCTCTTGTCTTTCTTACTTTCTAACTTACTCTTAGGTACCTCATCAGTTCTGCAGTTAGTAATATCCATGCAAAATTTCCACAGCACAATTTTGCCAGAGACAAGTGTGAGGATTATAATACTGCTTCCTTAGTGTTGGTCATTTGAGATTGATTCCCCAAGGTTTTGAATAAACAAGAGTGGTTTGACTCACTCAGGTGCTTTAATTTGGCAAGAAGACAGAATAAGATAGGAAGTGAAAGGATGGACAAATATATTCCCTAAAAATGGAAACAAAAAAGGACAGAGGTAACTATACTTTAATCAGGTGAAACAAATTTTGAGTTAAAAACATTAAGACAAGATAAAGGATATATTACATAATTTATCAGATGGATATAGCAATTGTAACTATGTATGCAACCAACATAAATAGATGAAGCAAATATTAATAGATCATAAGGGA